CAGCCTGTCCCGTTTGTTGAATGACTGTAAGAATGACTCTTAGCCGTGCTGAGGATTCTTAGGGGACCCATATAAAGCCGGTGTGAAGACACGAAGGTCCAGGTCACTCAGCTGCGCCCAGGTCCCTGGGCCATGCCTGTGCTGCCCCTTACAGTATGCTGCCGTGTGTAGAGGTCTGAACCAAGGCGTCGGCTGGTGCGGGCAGCTGCTTGGGGCCGCCCTGCGCGGCCTCCTGCTTGCTGCCCACAGAGGCTGCCTGGGCAGGTTTGACCTGAGTCTCTGGCCCAGGGCCTCTGGTCAAAGGCGTCCTCCCCATGCGGTGGGGCCAGCCTCCATCACCCAGAGGCCCAGAGCAACCTTGGACACTCCCGACCTCCCTGCTGGCCCCTGGAGGTCCCTGGCCAGGGCTGTCGGGGGTCTTTGGCAGCCAGTCTGTCTGGGGGCCCTGGGGGCCATGCCTTTTCCTGCCCTGCTCCCTCTCCTGACCCTGACCTGGAGGGTGATTTATGCAACGGTGGCAAAAGGCCACTGGCGGTGGGGCCCAGGGACAGGGGTCAGGACAGCTAGGAGGCGCCGAGGATGAGGGTGGTGGCCTGGCCCGTGACCCAGGTGGCTGGGGGGCTCAGGGGAGGGGGCAGCAGCTCTGGCTCAGCCTCCCTTGGGGGAGATGAGGCCTTAATTCCTGCCATCTGGCTCCCCCAGCCCTGGAGGTCGGGCGAGGTGCCCCCCCACTGGCTCTAATGGTGGAGCCCAGCAGGAGGGGAGAGACAGATGGCGGCGGCCGGCTAGAGAGGTAGAGGGTGGACTTTGTTCAGAGGCGCTTGCAAAGAGGGGGACAGGTCTCTCTCACACACATGCACGAATGCGCCAGGCACCACTCTGGGGCGCTTTGGAACCCGGGGTCCGTGTCATTGCCGGGTGGGCTTCTGATGCGCCTTCAGATCCGGACTTACCTGTTGAACACTCTCCCCAGCACACAATCACAGACAACGTGTGTACATGCGTGCACGTGCACAGAGATGCGCAGACACACGCACACACATGCTCACCCCCCAGCTCTCGCCTTCAGGGTCGCGGTGCACTGGGAGGTAGATTGCTGCCCCTGGGCTTCAGAGGGGACTCTCTCTCCTGCCAGACACTTGGCTGTCACCCATCTGCTCTCCCCACAGCAAAGTCTCTTCCCAGAGAACCAGCCTCTCTCTGCTCTGCCCCCTCGTGTCGCTATGTTTATCTGAACCTCCTTGTCATCTCTTTTACACCTACGTATGTAACCCCGAGCAGACGGCCATCCCCTGTCTTGTTCACCAGCATACTCCCTGAGGCCTGGCATAGTACATGTTTGCTGAACGGATGGCTTGGGGCAAATCTGGCCTGCAGAGATAACCTAGGCCGTCGGAGTTTAGAGGTGAGGGTCAGGAGTCAGTTAACCTCTGCCGGGCTGTGTTCTGGAATAAAACCCCAACCCTTTAGGATGGCTTAGAGGCCTTGGGTGCCCTGGCCCTAGCAGCTCTCCCCAGCTTCATCCTCTCTCTCGCGTGGAGCCCTGCTGCAGCCACACTGACTGCCTTGCTGGTCCTCAAGCGCACAGATCTCGTTCCTGCCTCAGGTCCTTTGCACTTTCTCTTCCAGCAGCCTGGTGTTCTCTTCTTCCAGATACTTGCAGGATTCCATCCCTCTCTTGTTTCGGGCCTCAGCTCAAATATCACCTTGACAGAGAGGCTTTTGCTGGCCACCCCTCCTTAAGACAGCCATCTGCGTCTACCTCCCTTTGAGCAGGCCTCAGGGGCTGAAATGTTTGTTACTTGTCTGCCTCTTTGCTGACGGGCTCCACCACCCCAGCACCAGCCCCACACAGGCAGGACCTTCATCATCTTCCCTGCCGTATTTTCAGCACCTGGAAGAGTGCAGGTGCCCAGTAGTTGGTTGATAAATGTTTTTTGAATGAAAGAACGAAGGGCGGGTGTGACCAGAGCCAGTTCAGAGTGGCTGGTGTGTTGGGGAGCAGGAGGTTGAACCTAACTCCGAAGGTAAACAGGCTGTTCTGATGCACAGTATCTGATGCTACACGGTCGTCCGGATTTTTTGATCAGGAGAGAGGCATGATGTGATGCCTCCAGATTCCGTACCTTGAACTTAGAGGGTACCCGTGGGGAGTCCCGGTCAGGCGGCCCATTGGGTGTGGACCCTTCCTCAGTGGTGGCTGCCCTGCTAGTCCCATGTTAGTGTCCTGGGGCTGCCATAACCCAGCATCACAGACTTTGAAATGACAAAAGCCTCTTCTCTCACGATTCTGGAGACCAGAAGTCCAAAATGAAGATGTCCAGAGTGAATTCCTTCTAGAGGCTCTGGGAGAGGGTCCTTCCTGACTCTCCCAGCTCCTTGGCGGCTCCGAGCTCTCCTCCACTGTGGCTGTGGCACTACAGCCTCAGCCTCCGTCCTCCCGTGGCCTCTCCCTGTGGCCACCCTGCCCGCTGAGATCCGACGTCTCCCTGGTCAGTTCCCTTTTTGGGGGGTAGATGCAGCTTCCATCTCTGGGGGTCCAGGACAGATCTCCTTGTGTGGTCTCCAGCAGGCTGGCCACCTTGAATTCTTGGGTGGCGAGTGGCTTGATATTACCTTTTCCCCCTGGACCATAAGAAAGCCTCAGATGGAGCCCAGAAATCTCAGTTCCCTGGTGTCTGGACCAAAGATGGTCCAGGCAGCCGTGACCAGATAGTATTGGAGATGGGCCCATCAGGGCCGTGCAGTGCAGCAGGTAGTCAAGAGCATGGCTGGGCTGCTTGAGTAGAGATTTGAATCCTGGCTTCCGCTGTGTGACCTTGGCCAGTTTCTGTACCTCTCTGTGCTGCTTTCCACATGTAAGACAGAGGGAGTGTTGATACCTTCCTCCTAGTGTTGTTGAGGGGCTTGAATGAGGACGTGTGTGTGAAGTGCTTAGGTCTGGGTCTGGCCTGCAGTGTTACTTACGTGAGTGTTCGCTGTTCCTGCTGGCCAGAACTTCAGTGCAGTTACAAGGAGCAGAAGCCTAGAGGCTAATGTGCACAGCAGACGTGGTGTGTGTCCGGCGGGGGCACGAGGCTGCACAAGGGAGTACTGCACACCTACCCCGGCCCTGCTTTCCTCTTCGCTGAGTGCCTAGGACGACAGGGGCTCCAGCACGTGGAAGATGGAAGAACCAGCCCTGCAGGGAATGTGGCAGGCTAGGTGACCTTGCCTGGGTATTCTGACCTCTCTGAGCTTCAGCCCCCTCCTCTGCTGACAGCGTGATTGTGTCCACTTGTCCCTCCTCCGCAGCCAGCCAGAAATAACGTCTGCGGAAGGCCCGGAGCTCCTGCAGTTCAGCGAGGACTTGAAGGGTGGGGGTGAGGAGGGGGCTTTCCAGGCTACAGGAAGGGCACAAGCCACATTTCCCAGGGGCAGACAGGAGCGACAGCTCAGGGCTAGGGGGACTACATCAGGATGGCCAGAGCCTCCAGTCCTGGGGGGAAGACCAAAGAGTTGGCAGGAAGGTTGTGCAATGCCTTTTCCAGATCAGACGCCCCTCGTCCAGCTGGATCCCCGAGGTGCGTGATGCAGAAGGCTGTTCGTTTTCACAGCTGCTGAGTCTGATTGATTTGGAGAGCGGACACTCAGAACAGCCCGGGAAACATCGGGGGTGGGGAGTTTTGGTGGTTGTTATGTTTCCTGGGCTACCACCCAGAGGGCAAAGGTCATGACTTGCAGTGCCCTGGTACGCCACATCCCCCAGACCTCACAGGCTGGTTGGGGTGAATCCTTCGGCCCCTGCACCCCCTCAAAGATGTTCACGTGCACACACGCTGCAGCTGGGGTTCTGTGTTGCTGGAGAAAGCTGCCTTCTCTGGACACAAAGCTGTGATGCTAGGAGGAGTGGAACCAGCACCTGGGTCAGGCCTGACCTCCTGTCCAGTGTGGAGCCGGGGTCCTCCCTCAACCTCCCTCTAATCCCAGCTCCACGTGGGCTGCAGATGTGGACACAGAGGCTCACTGTGGCTCAGTGAGTCCCCTGGAGTCCTGCCCCACCCTTCTGGGGCCACCTCTTCTTGGGAGGCCCCAGCAGGCCTCTTGCTTTGCAGCAGAGTGTCAGCCTCCAGTGATCTCGAGGCAGCTTCTAATTCCTCGGGCTCCCCAGCCACACGCACGCCAGGAGGCTGCACGGTGCTGTCTTTTCTGCACGGCTCGCCCTTGATCTGCTCAGGCTTTACCTTCCTGCCTTAATCGCCGGCGGCGCCCCACGAGGCCCCCTTGTTCAGCCACCCGCCCAGAGTCGGGCTTGGGGCACTGCATGGTCCGCAGACGGCCCTCCTCCACCCTGCTGCCCCCCAGCGGGGCCCCTCGCTGCTTTCTCTCCCCTCCCAGGAGCACCTGCCACGTGTGGTAATTAGGGGCTCGACACCAGGTGTGGCTGGGCCTGGGCTGGCTTGGCAGAGGGGTGCGCGCTCCCTGCCCCACTGGTGATGCTGCAGCACCAGGCTGGGGTGAGCGTGCAGAAGAGGGAGAGACGGACGCCGCGTGCCTGGGTGGCCACCTCTCATGGCCCCGCGCAGGTGCAGGCCTGGATTCTGCTGAGCTGAGCTTTGCGTGGCAGGCGGCTGGCAGGGAGCTGCCGAGCCTTCCCAAGGTGGCACCATCTGCACTGTGATAAAAAGCCCCGAGGATGATAAATAGACAAGTCGCGCTTTTATTGGATTTAAGCTCGGGCGCAGCCACTTTGGGTTTGGCACTGTGCTAACGACAGATTTCTGCTTCTCTTGCAAGGCCTGGCCTCTCAGGGAGAATGCCAGTGGGCGGCCCTCTCCTGGCGGGAGGGAGAGCGCCCTCCCCACTACCCCCAGCCCACGGTGGCTGGCCTGCTCCCATCATGTGCCTGCCTGTGGGGTTTCTCCAGGGGCCCCCATGTCACAGCCCCTGGGATCAGATCAATGGTCTCACACCCGGGCTCTGACACCTAATGGCTATGTGTTTCCGGCAGGCCACCTAACCTCTCTGTGCCACAGGCACCCCATCTGTGAAATGGGCAGATGATGGTGTTCCCCGCCCACACAAGCTTGCGAGGTTCTGTGAGTAATGGTGGGGTACGTAGGATTTGGAGCAGTGCCTGGCGTGCATTCGGCGAGCGTTATGCAAATATTAGCTGCTGGTATCCCCACCACCACCATCATCATTACTGTCAGCGTTATTGCTTCCGGAGAGCCTACCCTGGCCCAGCATCCTGCTGGGTGGGGAGCTGTGTGGGGTCAGATCTGGGAGGAGGGGACCCATTCCTGGGATGACCCGGGCTCTCCCGGGACACCAGGGCTGCTGTTCATCCCTCCACCCATTGGGTAAAGGTGGGAGCTCCAGAGCTAGGTGGTCTGGCCGCCTCCCAGTCCTGCACTGACAGCTGTGAGGCCCGGGGCGTGGCTGCAATACCCTGTGTCTTGGCTTCCCCCGCTGTCACGTGAGGACAAGAGCAGAGCTCGCCTCGCAGCGTGGTTGAGAGGCTGAGATGTGCTGACCCTCTTTAAGCTCTGGGACCATATAGCTGGCATCAGTAAACATCGGCTCTTGGTGTTGTGGATGGTTGCCTGTGTTGGACACTGGGGGGACAGGGAATCAAGACAGGAGTGAGACGGTGGCCGGAGCAGGAGGTGCCTCCAAGGGTCCTCTGTACACGGCCCACCATTGCTCTTGGCACATGAAGTGGTGATACCCACTGTGCCAGCTCTGGTGGGCCTGCAGCTCAGCCTGAGGAAGGAGGGAAGGCACAGCGTGTCATGGGGACGGTGGCCCCCTCTGTCCCACTTGGCTTCCTGTGCACCATCGTGCAGGTGAGCTAACCTCTCTGAGCCTTGGTGTCCTCGTTGATGTCTCCTCAAGGACCCCCCCTGGCCCGGCTGCCTTGCTCCCTCCCCTGCCTGCTGTCCCCACCTGACCTCCTTTCCTTCTGCAGACACAGGGCTTCCTTTGTTGTTCCTTCCTTCCTTCCTTCTCTTCCTCCCCCGACCCTGTTCCTCCACTAGCCTCCCTATACCATGTCAGGTGCTGTGTGTCCTGCAGCCCCGAACTAGGCCTCTCTGCTGCTCCAGGCACCAGCCCCGCGTAGCCTCTCACCCTGGGCCCCCCTTGCCTCTTTCTGGGCCCCCATGCCTTGCCTGCTGTATTCCCCGACATTGGTGGTGGGCACGGGTGAGAGTGTGCCCCCTCCACCTCCTTCATGGCCCAGGGCCCTGTGTGCATCCCAGTGGCCCTGGTGGGAGAGCCCAGGACAAGAGGAGGCACCAGAAGGAGGCCCACAGGAGTATGTGGGGGCCATGATTTTGGGCTCACAAGTTCGAATCCCAGCGTCACCAGTGGACCTCGGGGAGGCGACATCTGCAGACCTCAGTTTTCTCATCTGGAGAATAGGGCTGCTAAACAACCAGCCCCGCAGGTGCGTTGTGAGGTCTCAGGACTCAGGACACGCTAGCTGTCACCATCGCTGGGCCAGGCACTTGCTCGGTGCCTGTTTTGCTTTCATAAGGACTTGTGAGGTTGTTCTATTATTCCCACTTCCCAGATGAGGTGACCAAGGCTTTGCAGGGCTCAGAACTTTTAGCATCATGTAGGAATCTAGTTTCTGAATTGAAACCCCATTTCCTGGGGGGAGGATATGGCTCAGCGGTAGAGTGTGTGCTTAGCATGTACAAGGTCCTGGGTTCAATCCCCAGTACCTCCATTAAAGAAGAATGAAAGAAAGAAAGAAACCCCATTCCCTCACCACATTTCCCTCCAGACCACAGAGAGCTCAGAAATGCAAGAAGAAATGAGGCAGGATTTTAGGTGTGAGGCCAGACCTTAGGGCGCCTTCCAGGCACAGCTTTGAGGCTGTCTATACCCAGTCAGCACCCAACCTTGCCAGCAAAAGTCCAGAGAAGTTAAAGAACTGGCCAGGCATCACACAGCTTCCCACTGCCAGGCCGACACGTTCTCTCCTGGTGGAGTAAGCTCGGGGAGCAGCTCCCTGTAGCTCTGGGCCTGCTCTGTCTCCATGTCGGGGGACAGGAGGGCTGGTAAGGAAGGGCAGGGCAGCCTGGTGGCTAGCGAGGGCTGCCTCCTGCGCCCGGCTCCCCTCCTCCTGCTGCAGCTGGCTCTGGGCTCCACGTGCCCTCCAGATGGTTCTGACACAGCCAGGGTATAGAACCCCTGGCTCCCGAGCTCTTTAAATAACTGTCCAGTGTTGAATGGTGGCATTTCAAAAGCACTGGGAGGCCGACTGCGAGGGCAGAGGGGAGGGTGCATTTACCGAGCATCTGCTCTGCACCCGCAGATGCTCCAGGCCCCTAACACAGGTGCATGTTAGCCCAGCGAAGTGGACGTGAGACCCAGGGGAATGAGGTGGGACCCCGGGGGAAGGGGTACCTTCTAACAAGAGCAAGGCCCAGATCTGTGGCCATTTCCTCTCCCTCCTGCTTACTTATCTGGTCCCTCTTCTTCCCTCCATCCACTGAGTTAATGCAGACTGGCAGGGGTGGGCGGGTTTGGGGCACCACTGGCAGCCTGCCCGCCCCTGCGGCCCACACTCCCTGCCCCCGCAGCCCCGGGCAGGAAACCACCAACGTGCTCATGAAAGAGGCAGGCGCAGCTGCTGTTAACAGGTGAGCCCTTCCCGAGCTGGCCTCTCCCCGGGCCTCCTGGAGAAATCCGTAATGAAGTGCAGCTGTGAACTCCGGTTTTGGGTCAGAAAGGCAATTTCTCATCTCTCCTCACAGCAATTGAGTCGAAAATCTGGGAGCCGTTTGCCTCTCCGGTGCCTCCGCCCCTCGGCCCTGGCGGCCGAAGCCCAGGCTCTGGAGGCGGGCATCAATATTGCCGCTGTCAGGGGCAGGTGGCCGGGCGCGGGAGGGAGCGGCCCTGCGGGGCCGGCAAGGTGGGAGCAGGGAGCAGCTGGCCGGGGTGCTCTGGGGGATCCGAAGGCTGTTTTTCCTCTCGTTTTAATTGGTCTTTGTGACTCTAATGGTGCCCGATTCACCTCGTGGCAGCGTGCTGGTCGGGGGCTCCCGCCGCACCCCGTCTGAGACTTTCGGGCGGCGCCAGGCAGCTGTTCCTGGCCTTAGGACATTCCTGGTGGTGCTGGGCCAGAAAGAGCCTAGAAAAACAAACCCCGGGTGGCTCGGAAAACTAGGGCCCACCCTGGGATGGGTGGCAGTGTGTGGGGAGTTGGGGGGGCCTGGCTTCCAGATCAAGCCCTGTCACTCCACCTTTGCTGCAGGGTCACTGGAGAAGCCAGTTTCTGTAAGGCCTGGATGACTGGAGAAACACTTGCCAAGTAAGACTGATTGAAAACGTGAGCCCAGCAGTGTCTCCTCTCCTCTCGGGAACAAGGTTTCTGAAGCCCCATTGCCTTGTTTACCTGGCTGAGAATCATGCGGTGAACACTGAGCACCTGAGCCTAGCGGTTGTGGGCGCTGGCTCTGGGGTCAGCGTGCCCAACTTTGTATCATTGCTCTGTGACCCTGGACAGAGAGCTTGACTTTCTCTGATCCTGTCTCCTGTAAAATGTAGAGGTTGGATTTGAAAAGCCGCTTTGAGGATCTGATGATGACCACAATGACAATAATAATACTGTAGAAAGACAGAAAAGTGTGCCACATCTGGCAAGTTACCAGTTGCCCCCTTCCTGCCACCCTGCCCACGAGGGCTCCCTGCTCAGCCCGCCGAAGGGCAGGGTCTCAGCCCCAGTGGCCTTCCCCCTCCAGCCCCTTTGCTGTGACTCTGAACTGCCTGGCTGCATCCCACCACTCTCTCATGGGTTCACGTTGTGGCCAGCTCTATTGTGGGTTCCTTACTTTTTTAAAAATCCGGTTTATTAAGACCTAACTTACAGTTGGGGGATAGGGTATAGCTTAAGTGGCAGAGTGCATGCTTACTAGGTCCTAGGTTCAATCCCCCAGTACCTCCACTAAAAACGAATAAATGAACCTAATTACTTCCCCCCCTCAAAAAAAAAAAGACACAACTTACATTCAGTAACATTCACTCTTTTTTTTTTTTAACGCAGATACTGGGGTTTGAACCCAGGACCTCCTGCATGTGGTATGCATTCTACCACTCAGCTTTACCCACCCTTTTTAAGTGCACTGTTTGGTGAGTCTTCACAAATGTTTGCAGCAGTGAGACCACCACCACAATGAAGATACAAAACACCCCCGGCCCCAGAAAAGCCCCTTGTTCCCCTCCCCCACCCCTGCAACCACAGGTCTGTTTTCTGTCCCTCTGGCTCCGCCTTTGCCGGACTGCTGGACTGTCGTAGGGGGAAGGTGTTCAGCGTGAAGACTACGGGTCTGGCTTCCTCCTCTTTGCACGCTGTTTTTGGTGCCTGTGTCATGGTCGAGACTGGGGTCCTGTGGTCAGGATGCACCACAACCTGTGTGTCCACTTGCCTGTGGAGGGACACTGGGGTGTCTACTTTGTGTGTTTTAATTCTGCCACAGCTGTCTTCGCCTGCTCAGGCTGCTGCATTGGAGTACCATGAACCAGGGCTTAGCCAACAGCTGTTTATTCCTCAGGGTTCGAGGCTCGAAGCCCGAGAGCTGGCACCGGCAGCCTGGGGCCGCCTCCTCACCATGTCCTCACGTGGCTGCTGCTTGGCGCACTTGCAGAGACCATTCTCGAGTCTCACTTCTTACAAGGATGCTAATCCCATCATGGGGGCCCCATCCTCACGACCTGATCTAAGCCAAATTGCCTCCCAAAGACCCCACCTCCGGACACCATTGCACTGGGGGCTAGGGCTTCAACAGATGAATCTGGGGAGGACACAAACGTTTGGTCCACAACAGCAATTCATATGCTCCCGTGAAGCCTGTGGCATCATCCCCCCCCCCACCGGTGGGTGGCGATACGGAGGCCATGGAATAGGCCCTCCTTGCCTGCCTTTCTCCCCTTTCTGGTTCCCAGCGAGACTGAGCAGGGCCCATGTCCCCTAAGGAATAAGTCTGTGCACCCCCGGACCCATCTCCCAGTGTCAGGTCTGACCTTGGCTGAAGATGCCTCTTTGTCTCTGCCAGAGCCCTGTGGCCAGCTCGAATAATTGGATTTTAATAAAACGGATGGGAGTGCAGGAGCAGTTCACCACCCTGGCCTGCGCCGAGGCCCTGCAATTAAACCGATTATGTCTTGAGAGTCAAGCTGTCTGACTCTGCATCCCTAATTTGGTGGTGCTTGCCCGCCCTACCAGCATGGTTGTTTATTTATTTACTGGATTTTCACGAGCTGGGACATGCAGGGGGGGTGAGGGGTAATTAGCATGAGGTGGTGAGCTGGGATCTGGACTTTGGGTGTTCCCACCCCAGCCACCCACCTACCTCTCCCTCCCTACAGTTTCCGGGTCCTGGCAGCTTAGGGGATCACTGGGGACTTTCAGATACTGATGCTGGACCACCCCTCCCCCAGGGTTGTGATGTAGGTAATCTGGACTGTGGCCAGGCCATGGGGAGTTTTCAAAGCTTCCCCAGTTGAGTTTGACCAGCAACCCCTGGAGACAGATTCTTCTGGATGCTACCTCCTTCCTGGACCCACTGTGCTCCCATGGGCACAGGCTGTCTGCACATGAAGGCTTGTGGCCATCTCCTCATGGGCTCGTGGAATCCCGTTAAAGGGTCTGAGCTCAGGGACCCTCGAGATGGACATTGCCAGAAAGAAACATCTGGTGGGCAGGATGCCTGGGGGCTTTTCCAGGCATTTTCTCTCCCCCATTTATTTTGTTAATAAACACTGAGCGCCTCCTTTCTGCCAGGCGTTCCGTTGGTGCTGGGTGGGTGGAGACCCCTGTGTCGGGGCTGGGTCTGCTCTGTGGCTTCCACCCACCCTGCAGGCACCAAGGGTGGAGACCTTTGCCTTCTCTGGGAGTGTGTTTTGGCTATAATTACCCCCATTGCCTGTGTATTTTGGGCTTCACAACCCCTAAGAGGTGCCCCGATGCTGCTGGTCGTTCTGGCACAGACCCCGGCTTAGCACCTCAGATGAGGCCCAGACCCCAGAGCCGGGCTCCCTCTGTTACCTGGGGCGGTGGTTGCCCACCACAAAGCAGCCCCTCTGGTTCCCACGCTGGATGAAGGTTCTGGATTTTGGCATCAGCAGAGCAGATGAGGGAGTGAGGAGAAGTTGTTTGGGGGATCCCTGCAATAAAATCACCAGGGTTTGGGGACCCTGGACAGCTTGCCCACGCTCTGCACCCCTTTCTTTCGCAGCCCCTCCAAGAGCAAACGCATGTGCAGGAGGCCGGGCCCTGAACAGTCAGTGTGCTCCAGGTGTTTGATAATTATGATTAATCGGGAAAGGGAAGGCCACAAAGTAGGCTGTGAGCCAGCTATCTGGAGCAACTGGGGCTGAGGGGTTGCCTGGTGGGAGCTGGGCCCCCAAGCTCAGGTGGGAGGACAGCCCCTTTAATTAGGTGAAGTCAGTGGGTAGCCATGGGGCAGGTCCCATCTGGTGGCCGCCCTGTGGGCTGATGGGGGTCCTGGAGCCCCAGCTGCTGAGGACTGGGGTAAACCTGTGTCCCTCAACCCCCAGGGCAGCCCCGCAAGGCTGAGCTCAGACAGGCAGTTCCTGGCCTGGAGTTGGAGGGCCGGGGAAAGGGGGAGACCTCACCTTTCATGTGAGTGACCCTGCCCAAGTCCTCTTCCCTCCTGACACCTCATTTTCCTTACCTGCAAAACGAGATGACACCCCAGCCTGATCTGGGAAGATGCGTGTCAGACTGAGGGAGACCCCTAGGACCGAACCCACCGGCCTGGTGCTCTGCTCTGAAGCCCTCTTGCCCCTCAGAACCTCTACATAGCTGCTCCAGGACCCTCATCCCGAGCCTGGAAGCCCTCATGGTTGGCTCATGCCTGCCGGGAGTCCTGCCACCCGCCTCCCACCCCAAGCTGAAGCACTCATCCCCCACCCTCAAGCTAGGATGAGCCTGCGGGTCAGGCCCTGCTCCATGCGCCTTACAAACCCATGTGAACTTGTGTCATCCTCACCATAAGCCTGCAAGGAGATGCTTGAAGCATATGCATTTTCTAGATGAGAAAACTGAGGCTCAGAGAGGCTAATGACTTGCCCGGGGTTGCACAGTTGTTAAGTAACAGCTGGGATTTGAACCTGGGCAGTTGACTTTCCCCCTGGACTCAGCTTCCCCTGGCCTGGTTCAGGGGAGGCAGGTGTCCCGCTGAGTTAACACAGGCCTGGCCTCGGGGAAGGTCAGCGGAGGGCAAGATGGTATTTTGGGAGATGCTGTGTGCCAGCCCCATGGTGTGTTGGACGTGCGGTACACTGTGGACTGTCGTCAGCGTTCTCTTTGTCTGGGTTTGGGGACCGATGGTGGAGTCCAGGAGAGAGGGCATTCCAGGAGGGAGGGACTGGCCATAGAACACGTGCCAGAGCAGTGCTTCCCGGTTTCTGCTCTGGAATTAACAAACTTCTGGGACCTCAGCACACACAGCCCAGCATTGCACACTGTGTGGAGTTTGGTGGGGACCAGGAGCCCCTGCAAATCCCCAAAGACCCCGAGGACAGGAAGGGGCGGTGCTTTTTTGCCTTGTGTGTGTGTGAAGCACTCGAGGTGGCTAAGTGGTATTCAGAGAAGATTCAGCTAACATCTGTAGTAGGGAAGATTGGAGTAGGGTGTGTGCTGGCATCCGAGAGGCCTGCTGGGAGGCTGTTGTAAGAACCCAGGCCTTGGAGGGAAGACCTGCCAGGCCCCCTCCCCAGGGGAACCACAGGGCAAGCTGTGTTTTCCAAAGAGGACACCGTTCCGCCCTTCACCGCACGAGGACAGAACAGCCCCTTCCCTGCTGAGCCACAGGGAATCGCGTGCGCCCAGAGAGGCTGACAGGGCTCCCGAGACGCCTTCTGATACAGGAGCCTCAGACGTCGGTGTCCCAGGCTTGCCATCAGCCCGGGGTGGCTGAGGAGGTGAGCTTGCCGCTCCTGCCCCCTGCTTTTCTCTGACCCCAAAAGAAAGGGCAGCTGGGTTTGCCCCCTGAGCCCTGGGAATATACAGCCAACAGCCAGATAGGGGCAGGGAGAGGCCCTGTCGGGCCTATCTGGAAAAGGTCAGGCCCCCGGAGCTGGCCAGACCCAGGGTGGGAGGAGGAGGGGCAAGTGTGCCTTGACCTCAGGAGCCAGGAAGCAGGGGCGGGCAGGCCTCCCCTGAGAGGCCTGGGCTGCAGCTGCCTGCTCCTGAATCCCAAGAATTTGGCGGCCACAGGGGTGAAGGCACCTCTGACCTGGGATGAGGATACAGGCCATCTTGGGTTTCTCTCCTGTCCCTGAGAGGGTCAGCCCGGCAGACCTTGCCGCCTCCCTCGCCGGGATAAAACGTGTCATCACCCCAGGAGCCGGGAAGCCCCCAGCTCTGGGCATGCGAGGAGTGGGGTGAGGTTCAGGGGTGGGCTGGGCTCCCTCCCAGGGTCCCCCTGGCCATCTGCACGCAGCCCCTCCCTCCTGCCCCATGTGAGCAGGACAGTGAGGTCCTCACCCCCCCAGGAATCCGGCTGGGGGTCATTCTGCCTCAGCCCCCAGGGGTCCAGCTTCAGCGTGGATGGACGGGGGACAGATATGGGGGCCAAGGGAGCATCCCTGATCCGGGAAAGTATGACCTAAGGCTTGGTACTGCCCCTGGCTTCCCAAGAGCAAAAATAACAGCAGCCAACATTTCAAGCCTCGCTGCGCAATGGTTGCGTTCTGAGCCTGCCTGCACGTTGCCTCATTTCATCCCAGGACGGAGGGTAGTACTAGTGGCCCGTCTTATAGATGAGGAGGCTGAGGCCATGCCCTCTGGCTCCTGTCTCCGGAGCAAGGTGGTGTTCAGGCTTGCTTGTGCCATTTTCGGTCCTTTGTTTTGTCTCCATTTTGCAACTGTACGTGACACCTTGCTGCTGGCTTGGTGGTTTCAAATAACGCCTGAACGCATTCACCCTGAAAGTATGGCATTGGGGCCAGGTCAAGAGGCAGGCAGGATCTATCTAAGGTAACAACCCTGGCCACCCCAAACACTGTCCTGGTGCTCTCCTTTGTCCTGCCTACACCTGCACCTGGGAACGGATGGGAATCAATCATTTACCACTTTGAATGATTTTAAGAGTCTGTGTCCTTCCTGGGAGGTTGTACTCCCAGTCTGTGCTCTCAGAGTGCAGGGGAAGACTATCCCTAGGAAAGGGGTTCAGAACCAGGAGGGCAGGATTTGGCAAGCAGCGGTAGAACCACCACCAGCCCGCAAAGATCTTCTGTGCAAATTAGAAAGTGCCTCTTTCTCCAGGCAGATAGAACCCATTCCCAGATTTGTTTTATGAGCAGAGTGAAGGCTAGGTTTCAGCTCTCATTTGCCATTTCAGCCAAATGTTCTTGTGCAGTGAACAACTTGAACAACTGTACTTGAGGATTCTTCTCCCAGGGTTCCTGTTGTCTCCCATCATCACCACCCCCAGTTGGCTGCTACGGACTCAGCACAGACCCAACACTACCCAGCATTCTTTCACCCTGGGGAGGCCAGGGTGCCCCTCACCACTGCCCTGGTTGATGTCTTTTGCCAATGTGTTTAGGGGGACTTGGCTGAGATCTGTTAATGTGGGTCAAGGGGTGGTTTAGAGGCGGAGGATTCTAAAAGGTCATTTAGCCCAGTGTGCCCATTGTACAGTTGAGAAAACTGAGGACCTGTAGGTTAATGTGACCTTGAGCACATCAGTTCGACTTTATCTTCTCTGTGGGATGAAGAGGAGGGGACCCCAGGACACAGACAGGACACAACTTCACCCAGTTCCTGGCCCTGTGGTTGGTCTCCCCATGCCTGCCCTGCACAGGATAAGCAAGGGCACCCCTCCGGCCATCAGCAAGGCAAGGGTGGTGGGGTGCTGTTGCCACCACTGGGAGTTCTAGACAACCCTGGGGGAAAGCAGGCTGCACCCCATCTCCCTCCCAGCCCGCATCCCTGGACCGATAGGATACTCCACCACAGCCATTCCAGCCAGCCTTGCAGGGACCTCATGTACCTCCCACTAGGTTTCCTCCCAGCCTGCCTCCCTCGCCTCCCGCCCCTCAACTCTCCTCTTCCACCATGGGGTCTGGGCCTCTTGCTCACCTCCCCCACCTCCTCCTCCTCTGGGAGACTTTATCTCAGCCCCTGACCCT